TAACACAACAGTTTTCTGGTTAAAAATTAAATAAATAAAATATGCCATTGACAATCAAGATAAGGTAGAGCGCCGGTGACTCAGGGGTTAAGCACTTGACTAGTAATTTGCAGGACACCAGCACCTCCTTGGTTCGAATGACGTCATGTACTAATGTTATTTTCGATTTACATAAATGCATTTATCCGACGTTATACTGTGAAGAAAGACATCATGATGCAACCTGCATATATCTGAGAAGAAATTCAAAGATATGTGTGAAGTTAACCGACTCCGAGGTATTGGCAACACTCTTTCTATTTGAAAAGAAGAGAAAACAATATATTTTAATTGCTGAGACAGTGGTATTTAAAGGTTAAAGAGTTCATCTTTATATTTATAGAACTAAACAAATTGAATGAAGAAATTAATTCGAATATTAAATACCAAGTTACATGAAAGTATGAGATTGCTATTCTCAAGAATTTCATTTTATGGGTATCTAAATGCAATGGTTATATTTTATGAGGTTTCTCTTGCAATTTTAATCAGAACTCATTGACTACATTTTTTCAAGAAATCAAGATTACTGACGATGGAGGCAGCCATTAAGGTTCATTTCGACATAAGCCGATGTCGTACGAACAACGCTCGTCAGCCGCGTCAAAGCGGGACAAACTTATGTTCCCATATGTTTGTCTCGCTCTGACGCGACTGCCGAGCGTTGTTCATACGATTTTTACTGTCTAAATGAACCTTTAGAATTCAATGAATGCTCTGCCTACTACTACGGTTAATGCTTGAAAAATATTTAATTTAAAAAAGGAATTTTTTTTTGGGAACCAGGGGTAAATCTTCGTAAGATGCCTTTTGGGACTAAGACAGGGTTATGTGAGATTCTTACTCACTAAAACCCCCTCGGTGGCCAACCTCAAGTGCGAACGCAGCGGAACCCTTTGCACTGGGCTTCTGCACAACTCCAGGAAAATACTTCCTCGTGCCTTCGCAAGATTCGGCAACATCGGACCACGCAATGTTGCCGTCTTCTCGGGATTGCTTTTATTGGCGATTACGGCCCCCACCCAAAAATAAAAGAAAATGCCTTTACTTAACAATTTTCTAAAAAATCGATTTAAAGTACGAATGGAATTCACCTTTAAATATTATATAGAAAAAGATCTTATAATATTAAATTAAATTATCATAATTAATTACTAATTAAACAGAATTTTTTTCTCTAATTTTATTAATTTGGAAGATAATTTATTTTTATTATAAAATTAAAAAATCTGTGTATAATAATCATCACTAAATTCAGATAGACTTTACCTTATTTTAAGGTCGAATTAATTTACTTGCGACCGTGTTATTAAATTCTTATCCATGGGCCTCATTAAACTTATAATAATTTAATTAATTATGAAACAATTTACTGATACTTTCTAAATTATATACAAAATTACTTTATTTTTATATGTTTTTAAATTCTCTTTAACTCTAAGCAAATTAAAATAATCAAATTAATTCTGATAACGGAGTTTTCTATTATTTTTAAATGAAAGCCTGGAAGTAACATCGTTTCATGTTATACAAGCATTTGATGTTACATTTAATTTTTAAATTAAAAAATAGAACTGTTCGGTACCTTTAACGACATAATTTTGACCCATTGAAGTCGGCAAATTGTAATCTCTAAATTGGTATAGATATAGAACATAGTCTGTAAGAAAACATAGGCTACTAAGTTTATTTTAATTCCGTGCGGACAGAGTCGCGTGCGAAAGTTAGTATTTAAATAAATCTGTTATTTTCAAAGTCGAAAGTTTCATCGTTAGAGCACAAACATTAAACAATTATGCTCAAAAGGATGAAAATCACTCGAAGCGATCATTCAAACTTCCTAATCCTCCTGTGTACCGGGAATTAGTGAGTTACGCTCAATTAAATCGAACCCAGTTTCTCAAACAAACTAAGATATTACTCGATTTAACAACTTTATAAACGCTGAAATATTAATTGATGATAAAAAGTATTTTAAACTATTAAAGCACTTTTGATATTGTTTGACCACCAGGTTTTTTGGCCGACTTAAAAAAAAGGAGGTTATCAATTCGTCTGTATGTCTTTTTTATGTGTTACCGCGTATTGTTTCGACATTGTATTTAAACAATCTCATATATAGAGTGCTAAGTAGTATCTTATATCTTATGAAGAATAAATTCATTTTAGAGTGCTGGAAACACCAAAACTTAACCTTTTTATTGAGATGGAATTGTCGTTTGAGCAATTACCAGTTTTTTTTTTATTTCTTAAGGAAAGTAAACAGTAGTAAGCGTACAATTACATTCATTTCATATTTGATCTTAGACGCCTAGTAGCTACTGTCCAGATACGTATAAGTGCAAATATGCAGTACATACCATTTGATGGAGTCATAAAGATAACAAAACAACTCAAATAAGAGGGGTGCGCTCGCCAACACTGCGCTCTACAAACATTCATTCCTTGTCGCCCTTCTTCAATCGTCTGTCCATAAAAAGGGAGGAGAAAATTATCTCCTGAATAAATTATATTTTCCCCTTTTCATGAAGACAGTAGAAGTACATTTCTGTATTTTTTTTCTTTTATTTGCAGTAGATCAAAGACGCAGCAACGTCTGAAAGTCCGCAAATACAAATGGGTGAGAAATTTAATGTGATTTGATGTCCCCCGGATAATGGCTTTAACATAATTCAAGCGGACCCTCCTCGACCAACCTTGTTTGTTTTACAATTCAATTTATATTATGCTTTTTTCTTTTTTTGAATCTATTAAAGTCTCGCGATTGTTTGGAATTAGGTTTACATTTTTAAAATCGCACTACAAAAAAATTTATATTGTCTACGTAAATTGAAATATCTTTATCTTTATATATATAATTCTTCTGTGCGTGTGTATGTCACTGAACTTCTCTCAAACGACTGGACCGATTTTGATGAATTTTTTTGTGTGTTCAAGGGGATCTGGGAATGGTTTAGATTCACAATTTTGTCCACTGGACAATGTTTTTTTAATTAATTTTTAAATTTATTAGTAGTTGTTGATTTTGGAATGTTTTACATTGGAACCGACAGACGGCGCTACCGTCGCAGTGTCAAATTTTAAATAATATTCAAAATAAAGACGTGTAGACAGGACAACGTCTGTCGGGTCCGCTAGTGTTATATAATATCTTAAATGAATAAATGTCAATTAATAAAATTAGTGTCTCTGTATGTATTATAGAATATGATGCAACTGCAACTTGCTATCGCCCGCGACTCCGTCCGTGCGGAATTACAAAAAACTTAATAAGTAGCCTATGTGTTCTTCCAGACTATGTTCTACATCTATACCAAATTTCAGCGACATCCATACAGAACTCGAGATACCTTTAAACAAACATCCATCCATGTAAACATTTGCATTTATATTAAGTAAGTTTGTGTTTCCGATAACGACAATTTTTTTTTTATTTTTTGTCTGTTTTTTTTTAATTTATGTATGATTATTTTTTCTTTTTTAAAGTGAATGATAATAATGACAGTGGGTACTAATGGTGGCCAGTTACACTGGTCATCAAACGTAGCAAAAAAACTAAAAATACGGGAAAATAAAACAAATACATATTTAACACATATTTTGTTCTAGTTACAAAACATTCCTTTATTCCTCAACATCTTTAGTTTCATTGATGCATATATTACAAAAATGGACATGTTTAAATGTATTTCTACCAAAACAGCTAGTCATTACTAATAGATTTAAAAACTAGTTACTACTTAATTGAAAGATTTTTTTATTTAAGGTGGCAAAGAAGCAAACAGCTACGATGTTTCGCTAAAATAGCGAAGTGACCGATGCTCATAGTCATCTCCAGCAAGATTTTCGTTGCCTACCGTAAGTGACAGAGGAAGGGTTGTGTCGTATCCCTTCACCGCCGAGTTCCCCTGCTACGCTTTCATTCTAAGGAATAGCACAAGAAGGGGACAAGAATTTTGCTACAGGCTTTCACTACTTGAATTATCAATTTCACGAATATCTAGGATTTACACTACAGCTACCTAGTTACAAGCTAAAGATATAAAAAAATGTATTCTACATATTCCGATCTATTTAGGCCATGTTCCAAATTAGGCCAGTTACAAAATTCGTTTTAATATCATTAATCTAATAACTTTTAATTATAAATGTTTTAATTTACAATAACAAACTAATTGTACTTTTCGTTGTAACAATATTGACAATGTTTTTTAACAGCACTTATTCATTCCCAGCTGCCAGCTGTCAAAATATGCGGCAAAGTGCCCGCGGTGGGCACGGAATAATGTTGCCACTCGGAAAAAAAGTTGAAAGACCTATTAAAAATTGCAAACATTATGAGAGACCCAAAATATCTTGAGTGAAATGGAACGTTGCCGCAGAAAAGATCTCGGTATAAAATATATTTTCGTATTATATGTTTTATTGTACAATTTTTGGATTTTTTTTAAATAAAGTTGCAAATGTCAAGATGAATTGGTAGAATATAACATATTTGTAAATACCAAAGTTCACAAGATACTCACAAAAAATAGGTAATGGGGGCCAACTGAACGACACTAATTTTTTAAATATCGATAAATTGACGATAAGCCCTTCGCTATTTAGCTTGTTAGGTTGATATCTGTATTTCGTAGTGTTCCATAAAATTCAAATAAAATATTTATTCTGGCTACTATTTACCTCACAAATAGAAACATTTTCATTTTTCTAAGTCCGGCCTCTTAATACAAAGTATTTACTTACTCTGTCATACACATCACTACTACAAATACGATTAGTATTTAAATCTTATTTTTTTTTAATAGTTCACATAAATATACTTCGTTATTTAGTTAACAGCCAGTACTTGGCACAATCACATGCAAATTAAATTTATAAAAAACTTTATAAGCTTTAAATATTTCATATAAAAATCATTTATATAACATTTAATTACTACTAAATATATAAATATAAGAAACATAATATGTTAATAATATTCACTAAAGATATAACTAATTTTCACATACCATACTGAAGTTCATACACTTTTAGTGTCATTTCACTTTAACACATACACACACATTTAAAGTCATATTAAATGCACAGCACTTTAGAACTAAGATGGAAGATACACTTTCACTGATCTTTAGACAAATGGTGTACCAGGAACGCGTCAAATGGAAATCCTCTCTACCTATTGTACATCCTGTCTATTGGGGTACAGCCATGAGACACATTCATCGAGATTTCCTTCATCCATCATAGACCCAAAAGGCAAAATGCAAGGAAGTTGGAACATCAGTCTTCATCATCTATGTCATCATCACTCATCTCCTCCTCGCTGGTGCAGTCTGGCTGCGAACCTTGAGCAAGGCAACGCTCACACCAACAGACAAACAAATAATTCTGTGCCAGTTCCTAAAATGAAAAACAAAATTGCATTATATTAGTATGTATTTTTAAAAGATAAGTCATAAATTATTAAGTTCCTTGACATTATGAACAGGGTTGGTTAAAATAATAATTTAGTGATTGTTATATATGAAGAGTATTAGTTTGGTAAACCATAGATGACATAAATTTCAATGAATCTAATTAATTATATTGCGTAGACTAGTACTTAATAACCTATCTACCTATTTGTTAAGACTTTTGAAAGTATTATACAACTAAAATCCACTATTAATTAGCCCGGATTATAGTCAACAGTTAAATTATTATAATTCAAAAGATATACCTTCTGTCTAGAATGCCTGGACCTCTGAAGTGAGCACTCATCTAAATAACTTATAGATATCTCATCTCCAGGCATTATAAGATCAATTGCTTTCAACTGTATTCTATGGTTGCCATACGGAAACGATGATTCAGCATTAGGAGCACAGCTGTGATTGCATGCACTCTGTAATCTGAATAGTCCTGAGCCTTCCGTGTTTAAGAAAGTACCGGATTCTGTAAAAAAAAGTTTAAAAATGTTAAATGTTATATTGTTTATTTTTTTTCATTTCTTTATATGTTGAAAATCACTCGAAAATTGGTGTTTAGTATTGGCTGCAGAGAAAAGTAGAGTGATAAACAAGGATGCAAACTTTCTAATTTGTTAAGAAAAAGATAAAAACACAAAGTAGTCGATGTTTATGCTAAGCGCCCTTTGCATCCTGGCACTTCAAGCCCAGTGAGACTGTAAATGCCTCATGGCAAACAGTGAATAGTCAGTCTAACAAAAGTATTGAACATAGGAATCATACATATCTGTGTAAATTCTTACTCTTGATTAATAAATTTTATGGAAATAAGATACAAACCAACAATCAAATAGATTAAAAACTTACCTTGTTCCACATACTGATACAGCTTGTCGATAAACAAATCAAGTTGTTGTCTCTCATCATCAGACATGGTCAGTTCTGACACAGAGTTCACCCACAAGGCAAGTGGGCTTGTACCTATCCCCTGACCATTTGTACCAACTAGTGCCATCAAACTGCAAAAGCCTTCCGGTGTCAGAAACTGAAAATTATTTTTTAACTACTATTAATTTCAAAGATAAGAAAAAAATAAGTCAAAAAATAGCATAATTAACGTTTTCGGAGACCAAAATCCCTGTTTAAAACAAAATCTCAAATCTTTTGTCAAAAATAACAACAGGGATATGTTTTATACAGATATTTTGGGTTCAGAAACTTACAGTAAGAGATGTTACAGATAATAAATAACTTTTAGTTACCAATTTTTAAACATATTTAATATTTTACCTTAAAAATCAATATCTAGTTCAATTATTAAAAGTCAAGATTAAATTACAAAAAGGTGATAGTACACAAATTTATATTATGTCGCTTCATCCAAGGAAAATCCGAACTTTCACCAATTAACCTTATCATAAAAACATGAATAAAAAATCACTACCTCTTGTATATATTCTCCATTAATAACATTAGCTGTCATATCTCGTAATGTGTTCAGCTGGTCAGTGAACTGTTCACCGAGTAACTTGTGAACAAGTTCTGCATCTTCATTTACTGTTCTATGACAGAATTGTTTGATAACATTAGCTGCTGCTGTAGGGTCATTACTCTGTTCAATAAAAGCCAATATTCTCACTAAAAGCATTACACTTGTTGTTTCCGGCGGATAATGCATTTGTCTGGAATAACAGTAATGTATTAATATTAATTATATGTATGTTTAGACTTCTTTCTAGACATGGTTAAATTTTTTTGACATTTAGTTTTGTTTCTTTACTCTAGGTGCCTAATATTAAAAACTTTGATAGTAGATGTGTGTAAATCAGCTCTGAATTGGCTCAAAAGTTCAGCTCATACAGGCTTAAACTCTTTATTCTAACTGTACTTTTTAGAGCAATACAGTAGATATTTATTTATCTTTTTTTCAAGTATATTTTTAATGTTAATAAATATGAGGATCAATAAAACCAAGATTATCAAACATTAGCCTAGTCTTACCGACAAAAGAAATCAAATTCAGGTCTAAATACTGCTAAAGTTCAGTCGCAATTCATTTAACTTTGGTTCTACTAATTAAAAAGATAAATTACACTCACTTCCAAGTCTCCAAGAGTATCACTATAGGGTGTTGTGAATCAGTTGTATCGTAACATAAACTTCTATGATAAATATTAAATGCTCGTTGTTTGCATTCCTCTCCACAGTATAATATACCGCATTGTTCACAACTAGCTATATTCTCCAGATTTATATCAAAACAATTGGCATGTGGTAAGACTATATCTGGTTTACAGGATAATCGTCTCACATTTTGTTCTGGCGTTTCTAATGGCCTAGAAAATTATAAAGTGGTTCTTATGTACTGAATTGTAGTAAACAAGAAGCTAATAAATAAAATAAAGAGTGATCTAACCTCATACAGTAGTCACATGCTAAATATTTGTATGCCGCATTCCAAGCAAATTGGCACGAAACTAAAGGGTCTTCTTCCAATATAATATCGCCTTTGTCAAACTTCTTAGTTGCAAACAATCCTTTTCCCTATAAGTAATGAAAAAGGTAAGTCAAAACTGATTTTTAAAATGATGTTGTTTACAAAAGCACCGAAATTACCTTCTTGCTATTTGAAGTTCTTACTTCAAATCCTGCCATATTATGTGTTAGACTAAATGTTTCTTTTATTAAATAAAAATTTTCCACTTTTTTAAAAATAAACAAAGCTTTTGGAATGAAAGTTTACAGAAATTAAATGGAATATAACCTACTGCTCATGACCACAATGACAGCAAGTGACAGCTTGATGATTAGTCCATAGGGATGGGCCAAACGTTGATCAACGATTCGACCGTCCACCGTTTTTCATTCAATTAGGTGCAAATGACCATGTTGCAAAGAATAGGGATAACTTTATGACTACTTCACGACTCTCCATATACCTTTGTTTAATGAGATTATTTACTTATATAGCTATGTTGGAAAAATCATTGTATCTGTAACACTTTCGAAATTAAGCGTTGTTGTCGAAGTTATTTTTGTCTCTTTGTAGTAGTTCCCTGAATATAATGTTAGTAATAAACGACTTCCAATCAAGACAGAGGAGGAAATCAAATTAAAAAGGAATTTTTCATAAATAAAACCATCACATATTATTGAAAATTACATATAATATTGCTTTGAATATGTATTTTCACAAAAGACCCGTTTACAACATGCTGTATTAAATAATCCTTTTACAAATAAAATAAAGGTTTTGGCTACAATATACTCGTACTGTAAAGTGCCATATGAGATCGACGGAACAATTTTATTTTATTATCGATATTATAAAAAAAATATTAATTTCAAGAACACAGAACAAGTGTATCATATATATTTTCTTTCACTGGCATCGGTCTGAATGACCTATGTAAAATAAATTTAATTATAAATATATTAAATTAACAAAAACAAAAATATTAATTAAAGAAAGGCTAACAAAGACCATGCTAGGGAGAAGGAGGAAACGGCATAGCTTCGCCCATAAAATATACTTAAAAAAATTAATACAAAGTAATACATAAATAGACAAAAAACTTAAACTTAATACGCGTTTAATAACGTTAGGTTAGTTTTGTTTTCATAAAGCTATCTCGTTACTACATAATTGTATTATGTACTTATATCTATATTAAAACTATAAGAACACTTTAGTTATTTTCTTTACATATAAAGAGCGCATTTAATATTAATTCGTGACAAAAAATAATAGAAAAATTTACATAAACTTGGCACACAATCGTGATCTATTGTTGTGAAACTTTTTACAAACTTAATTATTGTCTATGTTTTTTCAAAGACAAAAAGTAAAATTTCTGTGGAACCGTTTATAAGAACATTTGGGTACCGTATCCCATTTTACAATGCGGTAATAATTTTCTCTCTATAATTATCCACTTGCGCTATAGTATCAAACAGCGGTAATTTTCTCGTTTCAGGTGTGAATGTTAGAAGTAGAGCGGAAATAATCGCTGTAGATGCGAACAGGAGCGATGGTAGGAACGTAATCTCCGCTGACTGAAAAAAAAATATTAATAAATTAATTTTAATACTTAAACTATTGTAAGTTATATGCTAAGTATTCATTGTGTTTTAGGTGTTACTCAAATGCTTAAGTTAAAAAAATAGTCTAGATAATATAAAAAGTTGCAAGCCAAGATATAAATTTGTATTAATTATTACATGCATATTTTAATGATAAACTTTTAATTTAGTCTTGTTTTACCTATGTGTACTTAAAAATGGCATTAGAAATTCTAGTAACAAACCAATAAAGGCGTGAGCGGGGCAAGCATGCTTCCAATTCTTGCAGCTGTGTTTCCCCAACCAATAAGTGAGCCTCGTACACTCGTAGGGAACAGTTCTAAACTATATGTGTAGATGCCGGTAAAGCATACCACGACTCCCACTTTACCCGCTAAAAATAATGCTACTTTTAACCACATTATGTCTGTAACAAGAAAGAAATATAATTAAAACACTACAAATTATTGAAAAATACAAGTTATTTGTGAATTATAAAAAGAGACGGCCATTAAAATGACTCAGATAGCCTTAAGTTAGAATTAACTAAAATACGTAATAAGTGAATTCGTTTTTTTTTAATTTCTCGATATTACCGAATACTACTTACCATCAGGTGAAAATGCTTGTGCTAATAAAAATCCGGCTGAAAAAATATATCCACATTGCAACGTTATCTTCCTGCCAAACTTTTTGAATGTATAATATGCTATAAAATCTCCAGGGAACGATGATAAAGATGTCAGAACGAAATTCGTATATTTATTTCCCGGTAAAAGTATAGAATGTACTGCCATTCCGTAATATATAAAGCTGGATGAGAAAAAACAAAACGACGCGACGGTTAAACGAATCATTATCTCTTTAGAATTGATGATATCTTTCATTGTCTCTTTCTCTTTTTGTACGACAACATTGAATCTAGATCTTAAGTCGGCATCACTTATTTCATTTATTTCTTTATCGGTGACGTTTATTTTATTCACTTTAGCAATAACTTTAAGAGTCTCTTTAGCTTCTTCAGTTTTCCCGCGTAACAATTGCCATCTTGTGCTCTCTTTTAATATGAATACGTAAAAAACGAATAAGAACATCGGTGTGTATACAATTAATATTAAAGTCTTCCAATACTGAAGTCCCATCGCAGTGAAAGCGAATAACATCTCTCCGATGTATACTGCGTAAGAGAATATAACTCCAGCTAATACTCTTGTCGATTCACCACCGACTTCTATTACTGAAATAGAAATGGAACTTGTAAAGAAGAAATATGAAAGAACAAAGAATTATGATAAACTAGCTGCTACCCGCGAATCGCGATTTAATTAGTACCCTATGGGTTCTAGACTATGTTCTACATCTATGACAAATTTTAACGATATCCATGCCGCTGTTCCATCGATACCTTCAAACAAACATCCATCCATCTATCTAAACATTCGCAATTATAATATAGTAAGATAGGAGATGAAACTGGAAATATAAGTAAGACCTACGTTAATATCTGATTATCCCTCACTACATTATAAGAAACAAGTATTTGTAAGTACGTCACCGACTGCTCTCATCGAACTATGAACTAGACATTTTATAAATTGCCAACAATTAAAGTTTATTATGCCAGGTTCGATCACAAATTGATGAAATTAACAATCGTTCGGTGATAAGATTACGATGTTGTATACTTTATTAAAATCGGCTTGCCTAATCTGAGACCAAAATCTTCGTTCAAAATATATTGTTGTCTCTATATTGTCAAAGATAATGATAGGGATGACGATAAGATTTATATAGTCATTTTGATCTCAGAAACCAACAGTTATTTATGCAGCAACTGGTATCTATAACTACTCTATGCTGTCGAATTTAAACAAAGTCTTGTTACATTCAAATTTCACAATGAACTCAAATAATATTTCCACTTACATAAAACAACATTGACTGTGTAAAGGCCGGATGCAAGCATAGACTCTAAGAATTCGACCGCTAAGTACGCGTAATAATTCTGTATAAATATTTTAAACACGCCGACAGCTGCACCTATCGAACACACGATAATGGTTGGCTTTCTGCCGATTCTGAAAGGAAAACAAAATTATTAACAGTCAACAATAATACAATGAAATAAATAGAGAAGTAGAAATTCACCAGCCACATTTACAGTAAAAAGGCGTAAAAGTTAGGTTCCACTCTCCATAATGCAAGAAAAAAGAAAACCAGAAGTCCGTCATAGAAAGAATTACGTTTTTCTTTCAACCTCTAAATTTCAAAAGTACCAACGGCGAAAAACCAAGAATTAAATGATTGTGGTAACCAAACGATGTACTTGTGAATGTTCGGTATTTTTGCTTCGATAACTTGAATCATAGAAGATATTGCGAAATACTTATGTAAAACTTACTTATCTGCGATCCATCCAGAGATCATGACTGAGGCAATCATGCCGGCGTTGTGAACACTGCCAACCAGTGTCGACTTCCATGATTGACAACCAAGATTTAGCTGAAAGAAAAACAACAAAATTATTAATTTAAATTGTTATTATTTCCAATAATAACTTCCAAACTAAACTTTGTCAGCGCGGAATAATTTTTTTTTTATATCTTAAGGTGGCAAACGAGCGAGCGGCCACCTGAAATCGCTGAAATAGCGAAGTGACCGTTGCCCATAGACATACGCAATTGCATATGCGTTGCCTATATTTAATCGACGGAAGAGAGGATGCACAGAAAGAAAATATTTTCCCTTCCCATGCATCCTCTCTTTCGGAAAGTCCACTTCCACTTCCCATCCTAACCTTATAAGGAAAAGGGTGGGAAGGGAAAGAGGACTAAATTAGGCCTCCGCGGCGCACACTCATCAGACGAAACGCGGAATTGCTTCCACTTCACGCTTGTTAAAAAAAAAATTAAAAACGGCCTAAGTGACTCCCGCACACCTCAGTAAAAATCCCGTAGAAATCGGTCTAGCCATTTCGTAGATTACCCGGAACAAACGCGTACTTTCGGACAGACCGACTGATATATAGAAAATTTGTTTTCGTTGTTGTAATGTTCACAAGTTTTTAGACATTACATACGGACCCTCCAATTTTAACGTATGTACAGATACATGTCATTCGCATCGGTACAGTTGGTAAAGGTCACAGTCATATTTGAAATTATTTTTAACATATTATTATGTGAATAAACTAATTTAGATAAGAAACTGCACATCAAATATAATTTAACATGTAACTAATAATCTAGGATATAAAAGAGATTATATTATGTTTACATTACGTGCATTTTATTTACATTATCATAATAAAGATCAGTAACACAGAAATCACTTTATTTTCAGAAGCCGTTGCCGGGGATTAAAGTCGACGTGGTAGTCACCGACATCTGACAGTTTTTAAAACTCAAGTATGTACTTGGCCGATAATGTTATCGGAATAGAAAATTGTGAATTATAATAGAAATATCATAGTATATATCAATTGTGTGAAAAAATCCTATTGAATTTATCCAAATAGATACTACACGAGACCGCGTAGTATGCGCGAGAATGCAAAGAACCGCCATATTCTCGCTTATAGAGATTCCTCTCTTACCCAAGTTTCTCGCTTATGGAGGCCATATAAACATAACGTACTACTGTCTACTGATATTGGAATTTATAGTAATTATAATTTGAACACATCACAACGGTGCGTCACATTAGCCTACTTATAACGAGATTACGACGCGTACCATAACATACAAAGCTTAGTGTTTATACTTATACATAGGTACCGCTAAGTATACCACTAATATTTACTTAACTGGTAGCTAAAACTTTTCACTTTACGATAAATGTTAAATACAACGTTACAATAAGAAAAATCTTACCAACCTCATTTTCAGTTAAAGAATCTAAAAACCTTTAAGTGTTAAATTCTATTTGTTACAAAAACGCATCCGTATCCGCTCTATCAGATCATCCGAACTGGGCCACGATTTGTGAATGAATAATTCAAAAGAACCAGTTTTCGCTTATATTTTTAAATTGTTCCATACTCACCGCGGCAACTATTGAATTGTGATTCTCGTAGATCCACTCGTGACATTCTTCCAATGTTTCTTCGAATGTTGCGTTCGAGCAAGTGTTATTTGATTTACCAAAACTATTGACATCTACAACCGGTCGGAAGCATTTTGAGTCCACATTTTTGGGCCACCATGGAGGTATTTCTGCGCTAGCGTTCGTACCATCGCATTCGGGTACGCGGCATCTGAAACCAGTTTTCTTTTAATATTTGAATAAATCACTAATCAAATACTCCTAATTTATCAAATAATAATAATAATCTGATTACGATTTGCAGCTGCGGTAATATAATTTAAGATTTATTTTGTGTCTGCTATTTGGTTTATACAAACTAAAGAAGAATATTTTTAACTAGGATAAATTGTGACCATAAAGTGGAAACTCGGTATGTCCTACTATGCCATACATCTCTATCAGCTGTTATATTATGTTTGCATTTCCCTTCTTAGGCATATCTTTCGAGAAAAAAAATTGCGTTAAGTTTCGTAAAAATAAATAACTTGTGGTGTGTAGTTTTAATGAGCTGTCCAACAATGGGTCATGGATATGGATCCTTTTGAGAGGCTTCAAAGACCTCTAAAAAGTATTTATAAAGAATCATTCCACAAGAATTATCCATTAATTCTGTGTGATCTTAAAAGAAAATTAATAGAATTTATATTCGTAATAGATACATTTGGCGAAGACGTGATCCTCTCAGGTCGCCGGATGTGTAGGTGCGTCAGATGAATTTCAATTGTAGCTTGACCACTTTTTGGGTTTACGTCCCGTGTACGACTAATACGCAAATACTTTCAATGGAATGTGTTTTGGTAAGGATAAGAAACAAGTTTTCTGCGTCATCAATCACTTTCAGTCCTCGTAATTATTATGAATTTAAATACAAATTTAACAAAAGTAGAGCTAAAGATGATCAATACTAAGGTCGATAGATCCTTACGAAGAGTTTGTACATTGAAACGGGAGACGTTTCACCAATTAAAATCAATTGCTAACGTATCAGATAATTTGGTCGAATTGTTTTAACGATACGTTCATTGTTGATTTACGAACACAAGTATTATGTGATGGGACTTTACAAACTAAACTGACTATTACACAAAAGTTCTAAAATAAAATATTAAAGATACAAAAACAAGGAAAGAACAAAATATATTATTATATTATAGTCTATGATGCTTGTGGATATTTTCTGTCGACATAATTAATGAATCGGCCGAAATCCATGGTTACGGTGAATGTTCAAAGATATGCGTGAAGTCAATAAACCCGAATGTGGCCAGCGTGGTTGGCTACGGCCTAGTCAACACTAACTTAGGTAAGCCTCCGTTTCCCTCAGTGGGGACATATAGAGAGCTGAAACATTCTGGATAGCTATTAAGATAGTGGACGATGAATGGTGAATGGATGAATTGTTGGAAAGGGGTAAACCCTCCGTACAATCCATCCATGCTTACGTATATGCGAATTCAGATATAATAGCTGATAGAGATAAATTGAATCGAGGGATGGTACATATTGTGCTGACCCGACCTTATTCAGGGAAAAGAGAAGGATACATTTCAGTATGTCCAACCAAAATTATTAAATTGTTGAACTGAATTTGACCTCGAGCCACAAAACAGCAAAAACAAGGCATCTGTGTATTTTAATTAAGATAAACAGAATGATGAGTGCACGATATTAAGATATGTAATCCAATATGTCGGCACAGAATGTCTAATCAGTTGGATAATTTTAATTATTTATATTGATAACATATAACATTTGTATTGTCATAGGGTTTTTTCAATTTTACATATTTCTCTTTATTGGGCTCCTATAATTGATTGCAGATAAAATAAAAACTAAATTGCTAGTTGAGATAAAAAAAAAATTATGCACCATAAATAGTCCAGGATCTCACTAAATGTCTATCCTCAGCGTTAAAAACAATGTACTCGTAAGTTATATAGGGCATGTCAAATAAATATTTTCGCAAACATATAACAATTTATGTTTGTGTCAAAGTTTTATACGTAAGTTCAAGATAGTATTGATTCACAACCACGAAAATATTTAACCTAATTTTCTCTACAATAGTTCGCCCGCAATCATCTGAATTATTCATTAAACTTTTTCATTGATTTACATTATGTAAAAATCCCTTTATATACATATACATTATGTATTACGATGAAAATAGAAGCTAGAAGCTTCGGGTCAGTGTGGTCACAAGGCAAACTTATTTTAATACTAACTGTCTTTCCCGACTCCGTCTGCACGGAATTAAAAAACAACTTAATTAGTAGCTTATATGTTCTTCCAGCCTACTCTACATCTCTGCCAAGTTACTTTGACATCCATGGAGCCTTTCTGGTGATGCCTTATAACGTCCATCCATCCATCCATCTTTTTATTGACAATGTCGTATTAACACAAACGTCGAACAAAGGTAAAATACGTTGAAGCTAAACTAATTCTTGCCAAATGCGCGGTTCACGTAAAATATTAAAAAGTTACAAAAATAGATTGCCAAAAATTTAAACATATTAATAGAATGGCCTTTGTTTTAGAGAATAACTTTTGTATGTACTCAGAATCTTTTTAGTTACTAAGAAAAAAGAAAATAATACAAGGATAAAACAATGAAATATTTTTTCGACAAAAAAGCTAAAAAGCTAAAAAGCTTATTTTTTAAAGAAATTTGTAACATGCTTTTGAATGTATATAAAAATTAAAAATAAATAAAAAATCAGTGCTCCATTATCTCTTCTAATGAATATTGGTTAAATAAATAGTTCGTTATGAATTTTAATTACGTGTTACTAAAAAAAATTGGTCAAGGTTGCGGGAGTGCAGTGGATGCGGGCGGCACAGGGCCGGGCGTTGTGGCAATCGATGGGGGAGGCCTACATCCAGCAGTGGACAAGTTTAGGCTGAGTATGATGATGATGATGAAGAAAAAAAATTAAATGTCATAATAAAATATATTACAGTATAATATATTATATACTCTATTAAATTCTATCGAATTCTTTTTAATTTTTGAATCCATCACGAATAAATTAAAAACATGTGATCCTCAGTTAAATAAGCATAAAACTATGAATATTTATGCAATGGTTGTTTAAAACTGTCACAACAAATTATCACTTTTATGAATTTTCAAATGTTTTATGACACTTCGTACTTAAGCTTTTTGCACAAAACAATACCTGACTTAACTTATTCCAAAATCACTTAACTCCTACAATACATTATTTCAAACTTTCTAATTAATAATTACGTAATCTGGACGTAGGAAAAAGTCGTGGCTACGTAATATTAAGGAGTGGACGGGGATTAGGTCAGCAGAGGCACTGTTTCGCCTTGCGCTTGACAGAACCAAATATTCCAAGTTAGCGGCCAACCTTCAAGACTGAAGAGGCACTAGAAGAAGAAGAATTAATAATTATTGTGATAAATATAACATAGGAACTTATATGATAGAAAAGAAAGTTCACGCTCTGGAAATGTAACTAAATATATAGGTAAAAATTACATATTTACACATTTAATAAAACCTTACCTATGGGGTATGTCTTCAGCAACAAATATATAATTAACATGAACCATAGATACCATAACAAGAGGCAAACTGATTAAAATATATTGAAAAAACTGATATTTTGAAAATTTTTCAAAATCTTTAAACACATCACTTTGAGCTGTATTTACATTTAACACAGTCATTTTTTTATTTTTAAAATCTTTTATTTTAAATTAACGTATTTTTCTTTTTCTTTTTTTTTTATTTCGTACTATTTGTAACACTGTAGCATACGGATGCCGCCAAACTACTAATTGTACGACGCGACATTACTATAGGATACGTTTTGCGCGCGCGTACGATAAGCGCGTAAACTTCGAAGATTTACATATATAATTAATGACTGTCTCTAAACTACTATTCGTAGAATTATTTTTTTAAATTACACTAATAAAATATGACAAAACGGACATAAATTTTTCCAGAGATTGTACGTGTTTTAAGAACAAATATTTATTTGTATAGAGACGATGTCGATGTCTGATATCCGTTAGGAGGTTGGCAGAAGGTTAATAGATGCAGTAAATGTATTATTTCGTACTTTTACTACATAAATATTGTTAAAGATAATTGTGATTTTTTTTCTTTTATTTGAGTTAACTTATTTGGCCAATTTTAATAAAAATAAAAAGTCTCGTAAAGTTGTCTTAATCTAATATCTAGAGTAGGATTCTTCACCGAGACAGAAATTAAGCTAACTTCTACCTATTTATGAAGAAAAACATGATTTTTTTTATATTAATATACTTGACCTTATCGTTTAATAACATAGAAGTTTAGCTTTATTACAACGATGGATTAGAGATGCAGAATATGGCAAAGTATATATTTTAAATTTCAAAGCAAAACATTCATATATAAACATATTGTCATCCTTTTGATTCTCCATAAGGCAGTGAGAATCTACGTTATAATCACCAAGGTTTTGAACTTTATTGACAATGATATTGAGTTAACAAATTGACACAAAAGGAGCACTTCGAATAATAATTATCACATGTTACGTCAACTTATATGAGACTGGCGCAAACTATATTAAAAAAAATCCTGAAAGATTTCCACTGAAGTTACATTTCTTTATAACATAGATGTCGCCCGCGACTTCGTCCGCGTGGGATTGAAATATTGATAGTAGTCGATTCTTAGACTTATTAAATATATGCAATTAAAGTTTCATAAAAATCGGTCAAGCCGTTTCGTAGAAACTAACATTGTGACACGAGAATTTTATATATGAGATTTAACAGTGGTAATCATCTGTAGCATGCAGCTTCATAAACGGACCTCTCGACCGGGGCAATACTACGAGCACACAAGACAGAAATGAAACGGATGAAATGGTATTTCACAACTCAGTCATAAACAGTTTGCTTATAAGCCTACTTTTGAAGGACATTTTTCTGCTATAATGTTTTAAACGATTTCATTTAACTTGTTTTGTTTATTTGTCCTTTCTCAAACTGATTTGAAAATTGGTAGACATCTTTAGTTCCGAACAATACATTAAATGAAAAAAAACCGCTTGATGTTCAAAGTTTTTTGAACAGATTTTATTGCTGAGCTGGTACAAAACATGTCTAAGCATGTAACAAATATTGTTATTCTCTTTGCTATTAAAGCAGTTAGCACATGTAAAGCATGCAAATTTTTAAACAAGGAAATGTCAATATTTTTTATGTTTACTCTGTATTTTCTCAGTAGTTGTACAAAAATATTGTTTTGATCTCAAGGTAGTTTTTGGTAATAAACTATTGTCTTAAGAAGCTTTCATATCGGTTATCACTTGAAAAATAATTTATTCTACTACTATTGCTGACTCTATTTCTACTATAGTTAATTGATAATAATCATAATTTTCTTCCAAACATGTCATGACAGTTGTTTTAACACATCTTAAAGATAAGGAAAAAGTCGTGGCTATTATTAGTGTAATATTAGGGAGTGGACGGGGATTAGGTCAGCGGAGGAACTGATTCGCCTTGCACTTGACAGAACCAAATATTCCAAGTTAGCGGCCAACCTTCAAGAGTGAAGAGGCACTAGAAGAAGAAAGATGCTGTTTTGAAGTGGATGGAAAGGCTACCATGATAATTTTATTTATTAAAAAAATCCCTCGTAAACTCATATAAGACATCTATGTAATTTAAAAAAAATTAAACCAAATGAATATGTCCTTGATTTTTCCGAGACTTTATTAAAACCAAATATTGACATTTGGGTACCTATAGAATGAACTGCTGACCTATTATATCACTCTTCTCTTGAAAAACGAGTTCAAATAACTTGTCCACACTTATTTTATATTTTTAAGTATTTACGACAATTAGTACCCGCTTTGAATTACAAATTCTTACAACTCATAAAATTGTTGATATAAAAATCACGTAGACTTTGGCTTTGATTGTAATAGAGTTTATTTTACTATAATCGATAAAATAAATCGACGAAAAATCGTACAATCTATTTGAAAATACGATAAACTAAATATAAACAGGTTTAGTCAAGGCCATTGACGTTTAAAATGCCTCTGACATGCAAAAAGGTGCCAATATTTTTTGTTCCCATAACAAGTCAGGTACAGCTGGAAAAAGGAACAGAACCAAAATTGTGTGTACGTTAAAAATAGTTATCGAATACTCTGTTTTGAATTTTGATTAATAATTGGTAATTGTTATTGCTAATGGAAAGTAGCGGGTTAAGGAAAATATCTCCGGTCAACGCACGCCTCTCGCCTGAAGGTGGTGTCGTGTCGCTGATACGAATGCAACCGTTGAGTATACGATGGTTATTTGCGGTTAATAGTTAATAAATGTTTTGGCCAACAAAATGGCCCTTAAAAAAAACTTTCTCCATGGAAAAAAAGTTTTATGTAATGTTCTAACTTTTAAAAACGTGCGAGTCGAATGTACAATGTAATGATTACGACGGAATTTGGTGAAATTCGTTAAGTAAAACTTCCAGTTAGTGCGTGGTATATCACCGGTCCCTTCGTCGTATTAATAACCGGATTCAACTATATTGTTTTCATCTCTAGTATTTTAATACCCGTAATTAAATTTTGTTTCATTACTATACTCATGTCGACTGTATCCAGCAAAAAAACCGGATAACGACGTAGTATCTTTGATTAATTACTGCCATAATATTGAATAGAAATAGAGACGTCTAGAAAAAAAATAATAATTCTGTGTTATTATTAATATCTCATGATCATTTATTTTAATATTTTATGATGAACTCTTAAATTACCGTTTAATCAATTTATTTCTCCTGAAAAATAACCCCTAGATGTTATAATATTCCCCTTGTGCAATTTCTAACATTCTTTGTCGTATCGCGCCGACACCAATTATTATTAAGAAGACTAACTAAAATACAGTCTTGAGTTGACGTACGATAGTCATTTTAAAGAATTATTTTGATATTCTTGTTTATGTCTTGGAAAGATTTATGGTTTTAAAAAATACTTTTATGAATGATCAAGAATGTTAATACCATGGCAATGAATTTTTTAGTAAAATTGCTGTTGCTCTTATATGATATCGCCTTCATACGTTCTCCGCAAAATAATGAGTTTTCTATTTTCTGCGCCGGACATTTAGATAATATTTATTTTGGAACGCACCCAATTCCCATGCGTACTCTTTGGTGACGCGTAAAGCGCGCGCTCGGCTAACGTATCATAGACAAATTTATTCTCTACGCGCCATGTTTTGACAATGACATCTGTCAAGCCGTCTAGTTTCTAAGTTTTTGTATGTTTTCTAATAAAAATTTCAGAAATATAGTTTTATAAGAGAAAGCTGTTAATCCAATGTTTTCCGAGATTTAATAATCTAATAACATATTAATGATTCTTCGTCGTTAAACATGCACATTAAACAGGTAAAGTTATATTGTAACATAGAATGGTATTGGTGTTAAGATTCTATATTTATAATTTTGTTGTTTAATGTTATTATTTACAGGTTATTATACAAGGGTTCAAGAGTTACCGTGAACAAATTGTTGTTGAACCCTTTGATAAACGGCATAATGTGGTTGTAGGACGGAATGGATCCGGAAAGAGTAATTTCTTTCATGGTAAGTAAACTTTGTCATTCAATACCTTCTACATTGTTATAAAGCATTAAAAAGTATTTTTACAGCAAGATGAGGCTAAACCTTAAAATGAAAATTAAGTGCCAGTAGCTGACTACAGCTATAGTTATTTACAAAATATTATGATTTACCATAAAAACAAAACATATTTCGTTGTATTGGTATATCAATCCCCATGTAAGTGGGATAATGTCAGGATCATGATAGAAACATTTTTTGTTGTGATTAACATGTACAACAATATAATTAAACTAGAATATCATAAAAGATAATTTACCATCACCTTTTTTTTTCTCTCTCTTTCTTTCTTCTATATTACTCATATGACATGTAAAATATATTAAAAAAAATATTTCAGCTATACAATTTGTGCTCAGTGATGAGTTCTCACATCTCAGACCAGAGCAGCGACTGGCCTTGCTTCACGAAGGTACTGGCCCAAGAGTCATATCAGCCTTTGTTGAAATCATATTTGACAACTCAGATCACAGAATACCGGTAAAATATTTTTTAAACAAAATCTTTTCATTAAAACAGTCAAAATAAACATAATTACTCTAAGTTAATAATCTTGTTTCCTTGTTTTCTAGATTGAAAAAGATGAAATATTCCTAAGAAGAGTGATTGGTTCAAAAAAAGATCAATTCTTTCTAAACAAAAAAGTTGTACCCAGATCAGAGGTTCTCAACCTTTTAGAAAGCGCTGGATTATCTAATTCTAACCCATATTATATTGTTAAGCAAGGAAAGGTAAATTGCGCCATTTTAAAAGAAGTAATTTATAAAAAGAAAATCTTTAAATGACAACTACTAAATTTGACTTCTATAAATAGATCAACCAGATGGCCATCGCACCAGATTCCCACAGACTGAAGCTCCTTAGGGAGGTGGCTGGGACAAGAGTTTATGATGAACGCAGAGAAGAATCCGTTACTATTCTGAAAGAGACGGTTGGAAAGGTAAAGTACACCAATATTAATAATTCTTTTCTAAGGTTCTTCTTATGACCTAATAC